CGTACTACGTACTACGTACTACGTACTACTACTACGTACTACTACTACGTACTACTACTACGTACTACTACTACTACTACTACTACTACTACTACGACGTACTACTACTACTACGTACTACTACGTACTACTACTACGTACTACTACGTACTACTACGTACTACGTACTACTACGTACTACTACTACTACTACTACTACTACTACTACTACGTACTACTACTACTACGTACTACTACTACTACGTACTACTACTACTACGTACTACTACTACTACGTACTGCTACTACTACGTACTACTACGTACTACTACGTACTGCTACTACTACTACTACTACTACTACTACTACTACTACTACTACTACTACTACGTACTACTACTACGTACTACTACTACTACGTACTACTACTACGTACTACTACTACGTACTACTACTACGTACTACTACGTACTACTACGTACTACTACGTACTACTACGTACTACTACGTACTACTACTACGTACTACTACTACGTACTACGTACTACGTACTACTACTACGTACTACTACGTACTACTACGTACTACTACGTACTACTACTACGTACTACTACGTACTACTACGTACTACTACTACTACGTACTACTACTACTACGTACTACTACGTACTACTACGTACTACTACGTACTACTACTACTACGTACTACTACTACTACTACTACTACTACGTACTACGTACTACTACTACTACGTACTACTACGTACTACTACGTACTACTACGTACTACTACTACTACTACTACTACTACTACGTACTACTACTACTACGTACTACTACTACGTACTACTACTACGTACTACGTACTACTACTACTACTACTACATACTACTACTACGTACTACTACTACGTACTACTACTACTACGTACTACTACTACTACGTACTACTACTACGTACTACTACTACGTACTACGTACTACGTACTACGTACTACGTACTACGTACTACGTACTACGTACTACGTACTACGTACTACGTACTACGTACTACGTACTACTACTACGTACTACTACTACGTACTACTACTACGTACTACGTACTACGTACTACGTACTACGTACTACGTACTACGTACTACGTACTACGTACTACGTACTACTACTACGTACTACATACTACTACTACGTACTACTACTACGTACTACTACTACGTACTACTACTACGTACTACTACTACGTACTACTACTACTACGTACTACTACTACGTACTACTACTACGTACTACTACTACGTACTACTACTACGTACTACTACTACGTACTACTACTACGTACTACTACGTACTACTACGTACTACTACGTACTACTACGTACTACTACGTACTACTACGTACTACTACGTACTACTACGTACTACTACGTACTACTACGTACTACTACGTACTACTACGTACTACTTACCATGTACAATGTACAGTGTACAGTGTACAGTGCATCATGTACATCATCATCACCATCACCATCATCCTCCTCCTCCTCATCCTCATCCTCATCTGCATCCTCATCCTCATCCTCATCCTCATCCATTGTGGCCGCTGGGGGCGTAGCACTTTATCATCCGGAGACGCAGACGAATTCCGAAGACGAATTCATTTTCGAGGACCATTCCACCTGAAGACGCGAAGACGAATTCCCCGCAGACGAATTCCCCCCCAAGACGAATTCCGAAGACGAATTCCTCCCCGAAGACGGATTCCGAAGACGAATTTGCCGCAGACGAACTCCTCCACGAAGACGAATTCCTCCCCGAAGACGGATTCCGAAGACGAATTCGCCGCAGACGGATTCCTCCCCGAAGACGATTTCCTGGCCGAAGACGAATTCCTTCCACCTATAGCGCCCTGCACTTTTAAGCATGCGGCGCCAGGGGCCGTTTCTGTGGATTCAAGACCGTGCAAAGAAATGAACCAGCTTTATGAACCCCAAACCACTCTATGGAAAAATCAACTAATGCTGAATAAACCCGGGTCCGGATGTGCCTTCGAAGGGAATGTGGCGTCACAATGAGACGCCAGGAGGAGAATGTGTGGTAAGAATGTGGAATCACAAGGGAATGTGGCATCAGAATGTGGCACCAGGAGGGAATGTGGCGTCAGGGAATGTGTCGTCAGAAGGTGGCGTCAGGGAATGTGTCGTCAGAATGTGGCGTCAGGGAATGCGGCGTATGCGGCGTCACGGCATTTGGGAATGTGGCGTCACAATGTGTCGTCAGCATCAGGCACTAAAGTGCTACACCATTTGCGGGAACCCTGTCACCATCATCATCATCATCATCATCATCATCATCATCATCATCGCATACGCAGACCACACGCACACATACATACATACATACATACATACATACATACATACATACATACATACATACATACATACATACATACATACATACATACATACATACATACATACATACATACATACATACATACATACATACAACATACATACATACATACATACATACATACATACATACATACATACATACATACATACATACATACATACATATATATACATATATATATATATACATATTTATATATACATACATATATATATATACATATATATATATATACACATACATATATATATATACATATCACATGCGCAAGGCTAAACTTTATTTGAGGCCGCCTTGGAGCCGCTTCTACCACTGCTGGCGGAACGCCTTGGAGATGCCAATGTCAGCGGCCAAGGATGCCCACGGGGCCAATGATAATAACAACAATAAGAGTGATAGTGGTAGTGATAGTAATACTGATACTAATGCTGATGCTAGTGCAAACTTAAGATTATTACAATGGTTACTGTACTATAATTATTGATATTAAATATACTGATGTTAATAGTATTAACTAGGCTACGGCGCGGTTAGCGACCCGCGCTAATTCAGTGATTTTTCATGATGCTTGGTTCACTGAATCATGGTATTTGCAAGGTTTTGTAAAAACGTGATAAAAATGTGAAATCGTAGTTACTTTGGGGCCTACAACAAAAAGTGCGTTTCGTGTGAAACGTTCATCGATTTTCAATACCCCTGAAACGTATTATTGTTTTTTTTTCGTTTTGTTGGAGAAAATTAGTAACATCTGAGCACCAGGCATTGAGCAACACTTCTTTTTCAACTTACCTTGCAAGGTCATCAGCGTCGACTTTTTTTGGCCAGCTTTCCCAGTTCCTTCCACAGGTTATGACCTGCATTATGTCTGTACATGAAGGCTTTAATCTGGTCCAGCAAGCGACGGTCGACACGGCGATCGAACTTCCCGCGAGTTCGCAGGTTGGAAACAACGAATTGTTTCAGAATTTTCCAAAAGCTATCCAACAGCTGGGTTCCTGTAAAGAGTTTTTTCCTTGGAACCTTCTTCACAAACTGCATTCGACTATGTGATACAGAGGAAAACTGAAAACCGGCCTTTTTGGCCTCCGCCTTCCACGCTCGGTTGCCATCCGCGTGGATGCGGGTGCCACGGCCTCGTTGGATCTTCTCGAAAAACCGAGTCTGGTTCACGTCATGCGACGACTCGGTCGGTGGACGAGCACCTGGAGTCAAAGCGACGAGTGGCAAAACGTCCAGCAGGACTCGGCCTGCCGGTCCACGCTCAATGGCGCCGGCAACCCTCAAGTGACATATAAAATGCGTCGGTTTGCGGGCATTCTTGTGCTTGGCCTGCCACTTGCGAATCTCAGGCGCGAAGCTTTGCGACGAGGCTCCAAAGCGAAATGTGCGAATCGAGGTCGCATCCACTTCGATCTGCAACATTGACACGTCCGGATTGAGAAGAAAACACAGGTGAACACATTTGCTTCAAAAAAAGCTATGCGGACGACAAATTTGACTAGGTTTGCAGGTGGTACACATGTGTTTGAGAAAAGGCATTTTTTTTTTAAACTTCCCCACCTGACCAGACAGCTTCATGTCCTTCAACTGTCGCTCGGCAGCTTGAACTTCCATGGAACGCAGGTGATCAAAAATGCATTGAGCGGCTTTGGGAGGCACTCCAAAGGCAGTGGCATCTTGTCTCCTGGGATTCTGCTTGTGTGTGTAGGCTTGAATGGTGAGATACAAACGGCTCGGATTGATGCAACGAAAGCGTACCATGTTCTTCAACCAGCGGCAGCCAGCGAGGACGTTGGTGTAAGCCCTGCATTCTTTGACATCACAGCGGTAGTAGAGCTGTCCATTTTCCTTCGACCCGGGACGGGTGAAGAAGCCATGCAAACCACCATGCCCACATTTGTCACAAGTGTCGAGCTTGGTCAGAAAACCAGCAGCAAGCAAAGTTTGGGTAGCACATTGTGTGTCCACAGAGTGCGACAAGTCCGGTGTTTCTTGCGCCCGGTCTTTGCGACTGGAGTGCACTTTCTCAGAAGTCCCGGAATACCACTTCCTCTGTTTTTTTTGCCACTTCTTCATGTCCTTCATGCTTCGCATGGCCTTGGGACTGGAGAAAGCAGCTTTCTTGCCAGGCTTTCGGCTGGCTGCCACTCCATCCCCACGAAGTACCCGAGCCTTCCGCTTGAGGTGACATGGTCTCACTGAACGCAAGGCGTCTCGGTACCTTTGAGCACCGGGAAGAGTACACGTGGCCACATTGTGGTCTTTGCCGCCGCACAAAGAGCATGTCTTTTTCAAATTGGCAGGCATCGCTCCAAGCGACGCTGCCGTCTGTGGATCCAAAAAACTCCGGTCGAGCGATCTCAAAGCAACCGGCTCATGTCATGATGCCACTTTCCAACATGCAAGTCACTGTTGAGTCACATGCCACTTCTAGCATTCCGTGAATAAATTTATTCATTCGTTTAGTTTATAAATATATATATATATACATATGTATATATATATATAGATACATATATTGAATGTATATGTGCTACAGAAACCGCACACTGCATCTGCTCACCTAAGTTTTCGAGGCATTCGCGGAGTCTTGTCTTAAAATGTTCACCCTCGAATTGCATTTCGGCGCAGGGCCGCCGGCAACTGAGACCATTTGTCTCGCATCCATCGAGGCAAGTCATCCCAGCGATTTGCTGGAACTGGCATTGACCAGAAGCATAATCTCTCCCCCTGAGAGTTGCGCTTCTGGAATCTGCTACACAGGAGCCAAATTTGTCCTGCTTTGTTGCCACTGCCGTAGAGATGAGGAGCCAAGCTATAAAAACACTGCTCACAGCGACCCCACTTGGTCTTGCCCCAATCTCTTTCCAAAACTGCTTGCGTGCTCTCAGCATGTGCAGGCCAAGACTCACGGCACAAACGCTGAGCATGCCAATTCTCAAAAGAAGTTGCCGAGGTAAACACAGACGTCCTAGAAGGTGGACTCCGGGCACTTACCTGTGCCATGGCCGTAGAGGAAGAAGCAGTCGAGGACATAGGGACTTCTGTGTCCGGAGCATTGCTGTGCGCCATCTCTCTTCGAGCCATAGCACGCAACTTTTCGCGGCGATGCGGAGGCGAATCATCTGAACGGGGCTGGGATAAGGAAGCTTCTTCTTCAAGGTCACTCTGGTCCATGTCATTCTGACAGTGAAGCTGCTCATCACTGCAAGACAGATCCAAATCAATGACATCCGTGGAAGCGACATTTGCCAGTTGGTTTCCCCAGCTGTGAGAAAGTTCTTGCGGCGTTTTCAATGACCTGAGTTTGACGCAGAAATGTCATGGACATGTTGATAGAAGAAAACCGACGTGCAGTGCTCTTCATTTCAAAACTTGCTGGAAAAAACCAAGACACTGCACATACGACGAAAATTCGGATCCATGTAAAGACTGCAGGGCAACATGGCATTGCTCTTCCCACGAAGGCAACAACTCGCTCCCATAGCCAACTTCACGTGGCATTTCTCGTCTCTTCTGCAACGTCTCTCCAGCACTCAAGACCGCAGTGGGCAAGGGAATATGGCGGCGAACATACTGAAACCACATACTTTTGACTAAGAGCTGGCCCGCCAGTAAGGAATGCCAATCATATGCGGTGACAACGACACTGGGAACATGCTGACCGCAGCAGTCACACAAAAATTGATGCAAGTCCATCATGTCCCCCGTGAACACTTTGGCCCACCGGGAAAAGAGAGGAGGGAAAACCACACCTCCACATCTCAACAGTATGAGATATGTCAAAGCATCTAAACACTTTGACAGCGGTAGCATGATGCCTATACGAATTGAACCCCACTGCGACATCGACAGCCAAATCATGCTGATCAAAGTGAGTGCTGAGGTCAAAATAAACGTTTCGATAGCCACATTCTAAGAAAACCATCTTTTCTTGATAAACTTACCAATTATTCTATGAACCAAACCCCACCATTGGTCAGCCAAAATCATGCCAAGTCCCAGATAGCTGAGGTGCCCACCTGGGCGTTGCAAGGACAATGTTTCAAATCATGACTGTTCAGCAGACCCGCATTGATCAGTACTTTATTATTACTAGAAATCCGTCCGACCCGCACAAGGGCGAGCGCAATAAGCTGGCGTAGCATCAACTTCCAGGGACGCAAGTTAACATGAACGTTAACATCCCCACCCCACCCCAACCCAGTGACGTGACGTCAGTGGTGCATGTGACGCAAGTTAACATGAACGTTAACATCCCCACCCCCACCCCAACCCAGTGACGTGACGTCAGTGGTGCATGTGACGCAAGTTAACATGAACGTTAACATCCCCACCCCACCCCAACCCAGTGACGTGACGTCAGTGCTGCATGTGACGCAAGTTAACATGAACGTTAACATCCCCACCCCGCCCCAACCCAGTGACGTGACGTCAGTGGTGCATGTGACGCAAGTTAACATGAACGTTAACATCCCCACTCCACCCCAACCCAGTGACGTGACGTCAGTGGTGCATGTGACGCAAGTTAACATGAACGTTAACATCCCCACCCCACCCCAACCCAGTGACGTGACGTCAGTGGTGCATGTGACGCAAGTTAACATGAACATTAACATCCCCACCCCACCC